CACAGTATTCAGGCCTGACTAGGCCACATTATACGTTATTACAAGTTACCACCTCCAGCTGTCACACCACCGCCCTCAGCTTCATGATGACATTCCTCTCAATAACCAAGGAGAGAGAGAGACAGGCAGAAAGAAAGACAGAAATTAATATCAAACCCGATTAGGCTTTCTTGATCTACTATTGCTATTAATAATCACTGTTATTATTATACCATTCTTGATCTAAAGGGTCTTTACAAATCTTTCTCTAAGAGAAAATGCAAGTTAGATACCCAGCTACAGCCCAGCTTTCATGGCAAACAGGACCATGCTCTTTTTTCTAAAGATAGCAAACTACTTATTCAGATACATTACTTTACAAAACAGGACCTGGGATTATATAAACAGAAAGATCCTATTTATACTTAAATTACAGAGAAAAAGACTAGAAGAAAATACTTAAATGATTGTCTCTCTACATTTCATAAATTTCTACACTACACATATATATAAATTTTAACCAAAAAAGTTAAATATTCTAAAATATATGCTCTTCTTGGTAAGCTAAGTGACGAGAGAGCTATGAGAGTGGGCCCACTTTTAAAGGGTTATTAAAGAATATTGATTTTCAAAATTGCAGAGACTGAAAAAATATCACCCAATCCCGGGACAACGAGACGGAATTATTAGGTGGGTTTTCTTTATGACTTTATGTTATCAGGTTTAGCTCTTCAGAAATTTGCTCCAATGATCACTGATCTGCTCTAGTTTTACAGGGCTCATTTTAATTAAGAGTTTCTAATAAAAAAATTATGTTTCTTTCTAAGTCAGGCCTTGGTAAGCTTGGGATAAAATATGTTATAAATATTTCATAGATGCACTGGTGCAGTTACGTGCAATGCAGGGTTTTCAAAATTCAAGTGCAAACCATCAAGATCTATTGCTGCTTTATAGGTAAAGCTAACGGGTTCAATTAAAAACATGCTAAAAATTAGTACAGGAGTACTGTTTCATTATGCATCTACTGAACTTTATTTTTAAAATCACTTTCAGCAAGGCTCTATTAAATACTTTTATAAAATTCTAAATCTTTCTCCTCTGGCTTTCACAGAACTGATTCAGAGTGAAGAGGTGAAAGCATTACACAGCAAAAAAAAAAAAAAAAAAATCAGCAAGCTACGTTAAAAGCGAAAGCTAAATTTTTCCCCACCACACATGAAATTTCCATATATAAAATTTCAAAGCTGATTAATTTAACATTTGGAATAAAATAAAGATAAAATGTTTTAAGTCTTGTAAATACTTCAGTTAACGTCATAATAACAGTCACGGAAAAATAGAAGGCAACACTCACATGAATAAAATATTTGACAAGGGAAACAAACACCATTCCAGTGGCTTAATGACAGAAAAGAAACACTGTGGTCCAGATGGATTTGTTTTTATTAAAGACAATAGGGACATACATGTACATCCCAATTTCCCTGACAAGAAACAGCCTTTCTCCCCTGAGGATATTTTTATTTTGCTTTCAACTTTTGACAACAACAAAAACAAAAGTTAAACCTGCTTTTTTAAAGTTTGACATCCCAAGGCTCAAGGAGAAATATGTAATACAGTTTTTTCCTTATGTTCCTACTCTGGCAGACTAAGTGACTAGCTTCCTACCTCAAAAACCCCTTAAATAATTCTCAGAGGACAGGTTATAAATAATTATTATGAGTTCTAGAACCAGATCCCAGGCAAAAGGGTTTGATTCAAGACACAATAGGTTAAAAGAAAGTACAGATCATCTCATCTTGGATGGATTCAGCCTACTAATTTGACAGTGGCGTTGTCCATCTGGAGTATCTTGCTTGCTATCCGGTTCCTATATCCCATCTTCCTTGCATTTTTCTATATCCAAAAATATTCTTTAAAAGAAGAAATGTAAGGAAATAGGAAAAGATGGGAGAAAATGCCCAACTCCTTATTTTTTATCTTTATTTTTTGACCCAATAAATATACCCCCTTTGCAAAAGAGATTTTCCCATTATTAGATGACACCCTAAAAACCTGACAGTGGCCATCTCTTAGCTACAAAGTTAACATTTGCACTTTCCCTACTGAAGGAACACATAGATTGGAGCATGCCTTGTATTTCTCTATAAAGTGATTCAAAACAGACTGTAGCTTATGAAACAACAATTCAGAGATAATTTCATTTAAAAGTCTTATATATAAATCATATGAGTAACTTCTCTATATAGAAATCAATTACAAAACTATTGTAGTCAAACTTAATTCCGTGAATGCAGTATGGTAAATTCAGGTGAATTGCCATGATTGTTTCCTCTCTTTTTAATATTTCAAGAAGATTTCATAGCCTTAGTGTCACTAGGGTTTAAAAAACGCAAAAGCATTTCTTTCTGTGGAAACTATTAAGGTGGTAAATGTTCTTCAAAACCATGAGACAAAAATGGAAAACATCTGTTATAGCTTTTTTAAAAAAAGTTGTTATACTAAATTTACTGATGGGTATAACCTTCAAATCACCTCTAGGAAGAGTAAAGTGAAAGGGTTTAATATAAAACAAAACATTTTGCTAAATGTGAAACTGGATCCATCGTTTTTTAAGCCATGGGAACTGTTTTTTCTTAATAAAGCAACTGTTTTAATTGCCCAGATTGAACAATACATCATGTGACATTGAAGTTACAATTTTAAGTTATAGGCACTAGATGTAGCCTGAGTAACTGGCTCTTATTTTGTTTGTACGCAACACTTTCCTCCTTCTGTAACCAATTGGAAGCTGAACAATTTCTGAGCTACTTTAGATTCAAGGCAAAACTGGGTAATTGTGAAGTTAGACATGTGTTTCCTTGTAAATGTCTCTCTGCAGAGTCATCTCATTCCCAAAGCCCTAAAGAAAACTAACAGCGGAAGCCTGCCGGTTAACCATGTGCCGTCATTGCAGAGTTTGCAGTGAATGTGTACCATGAAATTGCCAAAGATGTGTATATATTTTAATAAAAGCAGAAAGCAACAAGCAACAAAGGCAAAATGACTGCGTAACTAGCATTTGGCCTTATCTAGATGGCATCCTGCTGAGTCCAACCCTGACATTGCAGTACTTTACAGAAGGCAGGGAGTTTTCTTTCTCTTTTCCTTTATTTGCCTATACAAAACCAGAAAATCCTGTTTTTACACTATTCACAAGCCAATCCCCTCATTCCATCATCTGTCTGTCTCAACAACTTAAGACATGGATGGGCTCTGCTTGCCTAAGATCTCTCAGCAAACTAGAACAGCCTTCTCCTACATGGCCCGTGATGCTGCAGTTTCATATTAATAAACCAAAAGTAACTCCCAAAATTAGCACCTCCTATGTAAAATATTATTTGTTTTCATATAAATGAGGCAAGAGAGCTGATAAAAATAAAAAATTAAATCTCTAGAAACCCACCCCTTTCCTGATTACTCACTGATGAATTTGTTCCTGTCATTTAATAAAACAGAAACTTGAGAAAACATGCTGTGAAAAGAAGCTATTTAAGTGTGGAGTCCCTACTTCTTAAAGCAGTAGTTTCTTCTCACCCATAAGAAGCATTTCACATTCTGTCACTTTACCTGTGGGCCCAGCGCTGCTGTTAATTCTGCAATCTCTTCTTTACTTTGTCTTGCAGTATTCTGAACTTTTTAAAACTGAATTACCCTCAAAGCACTACTCAAAATAAAGGGACATTTTAACAGTTAGGAGTACTCCAGACAGCAAGAAGTCTGTGTAGAGTCCTTGTTTACATAAACATGTTTAATGATATAGAAAATGTATTCCAAATCAATCATTAAAATCTAAAAGGAAAAATATATTACATTTTAAATGGAGGGGAAACATCTGGTTTTATTCAAGGTTGTGGTGAATCTGTTCGGCAACTTTTAAATCAATTTAAAGTTAATTCAGATGCCTTTGCAATCATTGCAATTACACATAGAGAATACCGAACTGAAAGATGGCAAGGCAATTGTCTGTGTCGAAACTTATCAAAAACTGTATTTCCCTGGACTTTTCATCCCAACAAATTTCAAATTCTCCTTTCCAAGGAGTATTTGACCTTCACATTTCAGGCCCTGTATCTCTTCATTTCCTATGTCCATCATATGTTACAAAACTCAAACTGGGCTACAAGTATAAATTTCTGTTAACTGACATTAATGAATTTTGGTTGTTTTCAAAATCTGCAATCTGTTCATTGTGCCAGCCCTGCATTGCAGAGAAGTCTTAGCATGCGATTCCAGCTTCGCTCCTGCAAAGAGAGTCACTACAGGTTTAAATTGTATTTACTCGGAGAGAAGAGGGGGAAGGGAACTCCCTGCCCCCTGCCAACCTGACCGGCCAGGCTGAGTGACAAGCCCCCAGGGTGGCCGCACCTCCCTCTTGCCGGCCTGGGCGCTGTCCTTGGTGCTGCCGGCGCCATAGCGAGCACAAGCGCCTTACCTTCTGCCCCTGCGGAAGCTGCGGTCGTTCCCCAAACGTTAAAAACGCCATATCCCACTTTTAATACAAATAACTACCCCGGCCTGTTCTCTTTAGCCTTCAGGCAGACCGTTCCTCAAAGTCTTTCTTTTTTCTTCTAGACTCAGCTCCTCTGCGCTCATCTCCAGCTGCTTTAAGACAAGGAGTGGGGGAAGGGGAGAGAGGCAAGAACAGACGAGGGTGGGGGAGGGGAGAAGAGGGACTGCAGGGGGAGGGGAGGGAGGAGACGGGGTGAGGAAAAGATTGGAAGAAAAAGGTTCCCCCGAGGAAGGGGCTGAGAGAAGGGCAGGGCGAACGGGACTAAAGAAGACCAGAGTAGGAGGGAGAAGACGGGCCAAAGAAGAATCGATGGGATTAAGCACAGAAGATGCGTAAAGAAAAAAGTACTGGGGAAATGGCAAAAGAAAAGAAAGCCTTGAGCATAAGAGTGCAGAGGGTTAAAGAACGAGGGAACCCCCAGGGTGTCGGGGAAGTGCTGCACGAAGGCGGGACAGTGACAGACAAAGAAAAGGCGCTGGTGATATTCGCACCAAGGGTGCCAAACGCAATCGGGAGGTGAGAAATGGGGAGAAGGCGAACAACCGGAGACAAGTGGCCTGGGACGGAAAAGGGACCTGGAGGGAGTGGCTGCGCCCCAGGCAGCAAATTCCGGGGTCCCGGGTCGAGGCGGCCACGCGCACGTGGAGCAGGTGCTGAATCACCGCTCCGCCGCTCCGCCGCCCCCCTCCCCTCCTCCCCGACCGGTGCCCGCAGTCCCCGCCTCCTCGGCCGCCGCCTCCACTGGGCGGGGCCCTGGCCCGGGACCAGCGCCGCGGCTATAAATGGGCTGCGGCGAGGCCGGCAGAACGCTGTGACAGCCACACGCCCCAAGGCCTCCAAGATGAGCTACACGTTGGACTCGCTGGGCAACCCCTCCGCCTACCGGCGGGTAACCGAGACCCGCTCGAGCTTCAGCCGCGTCAGCGGCTCACCGTCCAGCGGCTTTCGCTCGCAGTCGTGGTCCCGCGGCTCGCCCAGCACCGTGTCCTCCTCCTACAAACGCAGCATGCTCGCCCCGCGCCTCGCCTACAGCTCGGCCATGCTCAGCTCCGCCGAGAGCAGCCTCGACTTCAGCCAGTCCTCGTCCCTGCTCAACGGCGGCTCCGGACCCGGTGGCGACTACAAGCTGTCCCGCTCCAGCGAGAAGGAGCAGCTGCAGGGGCTCAACGACCGCTTCGCCGGCTACATCGAAAAGGTGCACTACCTGGAGCAACAGAACAAGGAGATCGAGGCGGAGATCCAGGCGCTGCGGCAGAAGCAGGCCTCGCACGCCCAGCTGGGCGACGCGTATGACCAGGAGATCCGCGAGCTGCGCGCCACGCTGGAGATGGTGAACCACGAGAAGGCTCAGGTGCAGCTGGACTCGGACCACCTGGAGGAAGACATCCACAGGCTCAAGGAGCGCTTCGAGGAGGAGGCGCGGCTGCGCGACGACACCGAGGCGGCCATCCGCGCGCTGCGCAAAGACATCGAGGAGGCGTCGCTGGTCAAGGTGGAGCTGGACAAGAAGGTACAGTCGCTGCAGGATGAGGTGGCCTTCCTGCGGAGCAACCACGAGGAGGAGGTGGCCGACCTTCTGGCCCAGATCCAGGCCTCACACATCACGGTGGAGCGCAAAGACTACCTGAAGACAGACATCTCGTCGGCGCTGAAGGAGATCCGCTCCCAGCTCGAGTGCCACTCCGACCAGAATATGCACCAGGCCGAAGAGTGGTTCAAATGCCGCTACGCCAAGCTCACTGAGGCGGCCGAGCAGAACAAGGAGGCCATCCGCTCCGCCAAGGAAGAGATCGCCGAGTACCGGCGCCAGCTGCAGTCCAAGAGCATCGAGCTGGAGTCGGTGCGCGGCACCAAGGAGTCCCTGGAGCGGCAGCTCAGCGACATCGAGGAGCGCCACAACCACGACCTCAGCAGCTACCAGGTAGGAACCGCGGCTGCGCGGCCAGCCTGCGCCAGCGCCAGCGCCGCGCGCCCCCGACGCTTGGGCGCGTGCCCAGGCGCCCTCTCCGCCGCGCTCCCTGGCGGCCGCTCGCTAGAGCGAGCACCGCAGACCTAGACCACTTGCCAACCGGTGTCCTCGCCCCCTTCTCCTCCACTCTCCGCCCCCACCCACCCACCCCAGCTGCCTAAGAGTCCTGACCTTTCTCAAAAACATGCTTGTTTTCCAGTTCTAGTTTTGCACGCTTGCACTTTTAAAGTGGGAGGGATGCATTCGGTAGTGGATAAAGCAGCAACTTTAGGATAGCTTACGCAGAAACACGTGTATTCTCTACTTTTCCGGCAGTGGTCGGAAGAGCTCTCAAAACTGGCTTCAGCCCAAAGGGCTCAGTGGGAATGGCCAGGTCAGCCATGGAGTTTCCCCATGCGTGTTTGTGTCCTGTTGAGACGTGTTCTAAGTCCGCTGGTCTCCGCGCGTGATGTGCCCAGGAAGTTTCCTATTGTCTTATTGATCTTGTTTGTTCGTTTGAGAATCCCTTAGATTTAAAAAGAAAAAGGGGGTGGGGGAGGGGGGCTGGGAGCGCTGTCCGGGAGGTTTGCGGAAGTGGAGGGAGTTAGGAGCATGCGAGGGGGAAGGGTTGGCAAGTGGTCTGCGAGGGAAGTTGCTGTTTGCAAGGATGAGTCTAGGCAGACTCTCTGTGTCTGTTTCAGGACACCATCCAGCAGCTGGAAAACGAGCTTCGGGGCACAAAATGGGAAATGGCTCGTCATCTGCGCGAATACCAGGACCTCCTCAACGTCAAGATGGCTCTGGATATAGAAATTGCTGCGTACAGGTATGGTGCTCACTGAGTGCGTGGCCGGAACACCAACCGCAGTGCAGAGGCTGTTCGGGCAGAGCCTTCACGACTTGAATTAAAGCAGGCAGAGAGCAGGCATCAACTGGGTGCCTGGTTTTCTTGCTTACTTAAAAAGAAATTATTCTAAGGAATTGCAAGTGTGGTTTTATCTCCTTTTACGCAGCTTTAAAAGAATGAATACTCGTAGAAACAAAAGGTTTTCGTATGACACAAAGGAGGTACAGATTAATCTCAATGCATATGCTTAAACTTTTTATGGAAAAATGTTTTCAAATTCTGGAAGCACGAACACAGTTCTGGTTTTTAATATTTCATCTAGTGGTTTCAGCTTTTCAAATTTATAATGTCAAGGACAAACACCAGGACATTCTATTTCTCTGTTTCTCTGTTATATAGCTTGCTATTGCCATCATCTGGCTGAGAATAGATATAGACTGATATATTAGAATATAGATATAGTTATTTTATATATGTAGATAATTTATATGTATTATATTTTATGCTAGACTGTAGTATTGTCTATACATCGTGTATATTAATCTAGATCTATAGATACATATATGTGCATATGTATATAAATCTAGATATAGAGACACAGTTATGTATGATCTTTTTATACATAGAGAGATAGGTTATAGGTCTACTAACTGATGTGACCTTGCTGTTGACTAAGCTCAAAGGACAAAATCGTTGATTAAAGTTTTCCTATTACCAATAAGGTGGTTATAATATAACAAGAATAAATTGCACTTACAGAACTATCTCTCTTTTCGGGAAAGGTGAATAACTATATTAAATAGACATCTCATGATAAAAAAAATCATCAATTTATAACTTAATACACCCATATTGACACCTGGCTAAGTTCTGAAATATGCTTAACAGTAAGATGTTTATGAAAGTTACATTTGCTTTAAAAATAGTACATATCCTAAAAATCTAAATGTTTAAGAAAGTCGCTCATCTCAGAAAGGCTGTTTGGCTTTGGAGTCTGGGGTTTCTGTTTGTTTGTGTTTTGTTTTGTTTTTTTTTTTTTTTTTGTGGGGGGGGGAGGTTCTTTTTGTTTTTTTTATTTGGCCACTAACGAGCTTTTTTTTTTTTTATTTGGCCACTAACAAGCATATTCATGTTGCACCTAATGGATCTCTACTGCAGGGCCAAGACTTAGTAGCTGGGTGTGGTCAGTGGACTATTGGGCAAGGTTAGTTATGGCAGGGGACAACTGTCTGGCAGTCCAGGAGAATCCTTCTCTATCACTGAGTAGGACATAATATGCCAATAAGTAATAGCAGATATTATACTGAACTGATAGAATATTTTACTTGTGTAATTCTATTTATTCAGAGATAGCTACTGGAATACCCAGAATGTAAGGAAGCTCAGAAGGCCCAATGAAATTTTTACTATATTTTATGTTCTTTAATTTTCTCCTTAGAAAACTCTTGGAGGGTGAAGAGACCAGATTTAGCACATTTGCAGGAAGCATCACTGGGCCACTGTACACACACCGACAGCCCTCAGTCACAATATCCAGTAAGATTCAGAAAGCCAAGGTCGAAGCTCCCAAGCTCAAGGTTCAACACAAATTTGTTGAGGAGATCATAGAAGAAACCAAAGTGGAGGATGAGAAGTCAGAAATGGAAGATGCCCTGGCAGCCATTACAGAGGAACTGGCCATTTCCATGAAGGAAGTGAAGGAGGAAGAAGCAGAAGAAAAGGAAGAGGAACCAGAAGCTGAAGAAGAGGAAGTCGCTGCCAAAAAGTCTCCAGTGAAAGCTACTGCGCCTGAAGTTAAAGGAGAGGAAGAAGGGGAAAAGGAAGCAGAAGAAGGCCAGGAAGAAGAAGAGGAGGAAGAAGACGAGGGCGCTAAGTCAGACCAAGCCGAAGAGGGAGGATCCGAGAAGGAAGGCTCCAGTGAAAAAGAAGAAGGTGAACAGGAAGAAGGAGAAACAGAGGCTGAAGGGGAAGGAGAAGAAGCCGAAGCTAAAGAGGAAAAGAAAGTGGAGGAAAAGAGTGAGGAAGTGGCCACCAAGGAAGAGCTGGTGGTAGACGCCAAGGTGGAAAAGCCAGAAAAAGCCAAGTCTCCTGTGCCAAAATCACCTGTGGAAGAGGCAAAATCAAAAGCAGGAAGTGGGGAAAGGTGAACAGAAAGAGGAAGAAAGAAAGGAAGTCAAGGAAGCTCCCAAGGAGGAGAAGGTAGAGAAGAAGGAAGAGAAACCAAAGGACGTGCCAGAGAAGAAGAAAGCTGAGTCCCCAGTAAAGGAGGAAGCCGTGGAGGAGGTGGTCACCATCACCAAATCGGTAAAGGTACACTTAGAGGAGACTAAAGAAGAGGGGAAGCCACAGCAGCAGGAAAAGGAGAAAGCGGGAGGAGAGGGACGGAGCGAGAAGGAAGGGATTGATAAAGGTTCCAAGGAAGCCAGGAAGGAAGACATAGCTGTCAACGGGGAGGTAGAAGGAAAAGAGGGGGAGGAGCAGGAGACCAAGGAAAAGGGCAGTGGGAGGGAAGAGGAGAAAGGCGTTGTCACCAATGGCCTAGACTTGAGCCCAGCAGATGAAAAGAAGGGGGGTGATAAAAGTGAGGAGAAAGTAGTGGTGACCAAAACCGTAGAAAAAATCACCAGTGAGGGGGGAGATGGTGCTACCAAATACATCACTAAATCTGTAACCGTCACTCAAAAGGTCGAAGAGCATGAAGAGACCTTTGAGGAGAAACTAGTGTCTACTAAAAAGGTAGAAAAAGTCACTTCACACGCCATAGTAAAGGAAGTCACCCAGAGTGACTAAGATTTGAGTCCATTGCAGAAGGTTAAGCCATATGACAATTTCAAAATGCATGTGATTGGCAGCTTCAAAACAGAACAGAACGGGTTCTCCCATGGGGGCTCCAGACATTGTATTTTACTTAGTGCAATATGAGGGGACTGCATGCAAGCTCAGGGTGCTCCCTCCTCAGTCTTTGGGGGATTCAAATGCATGATATTGTATGTATCTGGGAAATTGGCCAATTTCCTAAGCTGTTGGAAGGGGGTCACTCGGGGGGGGGATGTCTTGGGATGTATTATGCAAAGTACCAACTGAGCCAAATACAATAAATGAAACAGAGAACTCTCTTAGCCTTAAGAAAGCTATATATGAATAACTATGTTTACCTCACTGGTGCATTTAAAATGGACTTTCGTTCATGGGAGAACCTTGTTGACATGCACAGTTTGCAATCTTATGTTGATCGATGTTAAATGTCACAGCAGTACTTGCTCAATAAAGGTCATATTGGAAACATAGTCAATTGCTGGGTCTTGTTGTTTCTCTTTTTATAATTTTTATTCATTTTTATTTAGAGAGAGGGGTCTTGCTGTGTTGGCCAGTTTGGTCTCAAACTCTTGGCCTCAAGCGTCCTCCTGCCTCAGCCACCCCAAGTGCTAGGATTACAGGCATGAGCCACCACACCCAGCCTGTTATGCCATTTCAAAGTGAAATCTCCACTACCTGAAGCTTTCCTGCCCTAAAAGAGATTATTGGGGGGAATCGTAAATGACCTGCACTTATTGCTAATTTCCCTGAGAGTGACTACTTGGAAAACGTAATTGCTGAAGATATTTTCAGGTGTCAACATCTTCACAGAGCCCAGTTTTCATCCCAAAGTGTTAAATTCATATTTTTGAAATAAAAATAAAAGCATCAGATACAAAGAGGAATCTGGTGGGATAGAAATCTTCAGTGTCTCTATCCCAAACTGGAACTCAAAGAACCTCTGGGTAAGAGGACGGATAAAAGAGGTGTTCCTAACTTGTGCCTTGGAGTTGGGACAGAGGCAGAGGAGCTCATGGCATTTATGATGACGTGCACAGAGGAGACAGGACTGACATCACGAACACTCCCACCCGGAAATACCCAGCCTCAGAGGCATGCCTCCTGTGCACAGACACACACATACACATTGTTGGTATCACTCATTCTTGATTTGGTTGACAGAGATTTATACCTTTAGTATTTTATTAATTGGGGAAAATAATATAAAAAATAAAATACCTTATTTGAGAAAGAAAAATGAGATTCTGTGATATAGGCAGTAAGTATTTTTAAATAAAAATACCTGATATTGACCAAGGAAAGAATGTCATTCCCTTTTCAAACTTGTTTTAGGCCTTGAAGACCATGAATAGATTAATTAGCACATTATTTTTTCCAAGTCCATGTTTTTTCATTAATAAGATCAGCCCAATAATATAATCCTTGTTGATATTTTCAATGATTTTTCAAGATAATTCCAATTTTAATGCCTAAATGTACCCAGGAAGCTAATTGTTATTGGCAGTTTTTATCGTGTTTCCCAATCATTAGCCATTTGCCAGTCCTCACAATTTTGACTACATCTGAGTATCATCTGTACAATTATGATTTTTTTCTTTAAAACAATTTATGTTTTAAAGATGTTACTTTTTCTGAAGCAAAAATATCCATGACACACAAAGTGAAACAGAATTATTTAAATATAATCAGCAAGAAAACCCTGATCTAGTGATTCAGAATTTAAAAATAAAAGAGTATACTGGAAGGATGCAGGGTAACTCCTAGAGTGGAAACATCAGCAAGAGAAGAAGATTTGGGGAGACAGGAGCTGGGACAGCCCCAGGGACAGAGGTCACAGGAATCAACATGCAGTCACAGGGCAGATAAAACTGAAAACTCTGTGTCACTTAACTGGGATTCCAGGAACAAAGCATCATCGATTTGCCACACACCTTGACCAGCAAAGAGGAGCACCTTGATTGATAGTCCCACCCAAACTGACTCCAATGGCAGAACAATGACTCTTCACAGAAAAGTCTGGGAGCTGTTATCAGAAATAGAAATAGAGGCTGGAATTATATGATACAATCTATGTGAATTTTTTTTTTTTGAGATGAAGTCTTATACCATCTCCCAAACTGGAGTGTGCCAATCTATGTAAATTTTTTAAATGCCTACTAAATATACAGTTATTACTATAAAAATATTCATTTGTACCTAAAATTATCTCACCTACCAGCACCAGACCCTGGAGCTTAGAAGGTTCTTTTTGGTAGCATATATTGTTTAAAAATGACATGGGGAAAAATGCTAGATATAGTATACACCTAAAATAAAATTTTAGAAATAAAAATAAAATTTAAAAAGTGACAGGATCAATCAGCAAAACTCTCCAGCCCAGGTACCAGAAACTTAACTCTTCAGCTCTAACTTTGTTTTCAACCACTTTGTTTTCTTTCCTAAGAAGGTAAGACATTCAGTAATATTGCCACATATTCCATAAGGCAAAATCACTATTTTGTACTCTTTCAAAATGAGAGAACATCTTTGGCTGCAGTGGCACAGCCCAGTAGTCACAGCTGTTCCTGAGGCTGAGACATGAGGATCACTCAAGCCCAGGAGTTTGAGTGAGTCCAGTCCTGGCAACATAGTGAGAACCCATCTGTAATGGGCGTGGTGACTCATGCCTGTAATCCCAGCACTTTGGGAGGATAAGGCAGATGGATCATGAGGTCAGGAGCTTGAGACCATCCTGGCTAACACAGTAAAACCCCATCTCTACTTAAAATTCAAAAAGTTAGCCAGGCATAGTGGTACATGCCTGTAATCTCAGCTACTTGGGAGGCTGAGGCAGGAGCATCTCTTGAACCCAAGGTGGATGTTGCAGTGAGCCAAGATCTTGCCACTGCACTCCAGCCTGGGCAACAGAGTAAAACTCTGTCTCAAAAATAAATTAATTTTTTAAAATAAAAATAAAAATAAATAGAACAACACACCTTTGATAATCCATGCAAGTGTTTCTAAGTCAATCGATTACCTGGTTGATTCATTCATTCAATAAATGTGAACGAACTGAGGACTAGAGCCTGGAGGTACAATGGTCTGGTATCAAATTACTTATTTTGTATCACTGCCAGTCACTACATTGTTATTCAAAGAGAAGCAATTTGAAGTTCATGTTTCCAAATGTGTTCAGTGACAGCAAGAAACAGCATTTAAACTAAGTGCAAATCTCCCAATGTTTCGAATGTAAGAGCACCTTTCCTCTGACTACAATCAGTCTCTGGGCACAATGAAATTAAGCCACTGAAAAGCAGAATTTCTACTTTGACAGTAGATTGTCTTTGAGACACTATTTTATTTTAAATATTATGAGGATTATCAAAGTTCATTTATTCTCAATCTTCAAACATATAAGAACAGATTTTTTTAAAGAAAAAAACTTCCTCTGGATCACATACTAGATGATAGAACTGGGATTTAACTCAGATAATACAGGTCCAGAGTATACATTTTTTCTTGCTTGTTTGTTTTTGAGACAGGATCTCACTTTGTCACCCAGGCTGGAGTATAGTGGCATGATCATGACTCACTGTAGCCTGGACCACCTGGGCTCAGGTGATCCTCCCACCTCAGCCTCCTGAGTAGCTGGGACTACAGGCATATGCCACAATGCCCAGCTATTTTTATGTTTTTGGTTTTTGTTTTTGGTTTTTTTTGGTAGAGATAAGTTTCATGATGTTGCCCAGGCTGGTCTCGAACCCCTGGACTCAAGCAATCTGTCCACTTCAGCCTCCCAAAGTGCTAGGATTACAGACATGAAACACCATGCCCAGCCCAGAGCATTTACTCTTAACCCCTGTCCTATAGTAACCCTCAAATCCATCATCCACTGTGGCCATCTCCATTTATAAGGATGTTAAGCTATGGTCATTTCTTTCTTTTCAAATTGAAAAAAAAGCCAACAGAACCCTGCCATAAATCATTCACATAATATACTTGCATATCTCTTTACATTTTTAAAAAAGATATAATATTACTTCTCTATGGCACTGTATTTGTATCATGAGGAAAATAATACATACTCAAATTCAATATAAGTGGCGATTCCATCTATCAAAACAGTTTGCAAGTCCCAAATACTTTTTTCATAGTAACTTTCATATCCAATAGACAAAGAGTTATTTCTAGTGCATTTCCTTCTATTGCCAGTCAGTGCAGACAGAGACATTAGGATATTCAATTAAAACGTTAGGATATTCATTTCCACAACAAATAGGTTGGTTATTCCAGTCTGGAACAAGTTCTTTCTTTCCTGATGTTTTATATAATTTGTCCGAAGGGAACAAGGAGCTATTTTTAAGTGAATTATTTTATTAGATCTGCATAAAATGTGTCTATTTTTAGGGCCCCTCAACTCTTAGAGCTTGGCAAAAGTATTACATTAGAGTTTAAATCCCAGGCTGTAGATAGCAAAATTGTGTGTTTTGGGTCCATTATATTTACCCTCTAAGACACTACTTCCATATCTGTAATACAAGGCTGCTGAGGTGATGGGATGTTACCGATGAAAACGCTCCGCACTGTAGCAGGCATATGGTAGCCAATCAAAACCATTTGTTAAAGATAGAGAATTTTAAATTGGATCACAGCTATAGGTACAGAATTTTTTATTTAAAGAGAAGAAATTAATTGATACATTAATTTTCCTATATATAATTTCAATACAGATTCCAATGGTGAGTTTACCACAATAAGTACATGGTATGAATATAAATATACTCATGTGCACATATATTTCTTCATCAGTGTACACATAATTTCATTACCCATATAGAGAATTTGGGTGGAAAATCACTGCATTTTTCTTTTTTTTTTTTTTTTTTCTTTTTTTTTAATTGCATTTTAGGTTTGGGGGTACATGTGATGAACATGCAAGATTGTTGCATAGGTACACACATGGCAGTGTGCTTTGCTGCCTTCCGTCCCCTCACCTGTATCTGTCATTTCTCCCCATGCTATCTCTTCCCACCTCCCCACCCCCCGCCCCTCCCCCATTTCCCCCCAACAGACCCCAGTGTGTAGTGCTCCCCTCCCTGTGTCCATGTGTTCTCATTGTTCAACACCCGCCTATGAGCGAGAATATACGGTGTTTGATTTTCTGCTCTTGTGTCAGTTTGCTGAGAATGATGGTTTCCAGGTTCATCCATGTCCCTATAAAGGACGTGAACTCATCGTTTTTGATGGCTGCATAATATTCCATGGTGTATATGTACCACATTTTCCCTATCCAGTCTATCATCGTTGGGCATTTGGGTTGGTTCCAGGTCTTTGCTATTGTAAACAGTGCTGCAATGAACATTCGTGTGCACGTGTCCTTGTAGTAGAATGATTTATAATCCTTTGGATATATACCCAGTAATGGGATTGCTGGGTCAAATGGGATTTCTATTTTTAGGTCCTTGAGGAATCGCCACACTGTCTTCCACAAT